CTCAGTATTTCTGGCCCTAGATTTTTGCAAGTGGAATGTTTTCTCTCAGCACTAAATATATATAATATAAAAGCTAATTGCAATAAACTTTCCCGCTTTAGACGTTTGGAGTGGAACTACAGATTTATCTTCATAAACGATAACATTTATTTGTTTTTAATAAAGAGATATACCAAAATCGCCTAACATATTTACAAAAGGTTGTATTGAACAGACTAGGTAAATACGATTGAGAGCCATTAATTTATCTGTCAAATAGGTACGTTAAGCGTCAGTTAATGAGACGTAATGTCTATTTTCCACTGAGAAAGGAAATAGAGTGAAAAATAGTTGGGCGGAACGAAATACCATAATTGTTGCTTTTCACTAGTAAAACTCGTACTTTTTTTTAGTAAGAGCACTTTTTTTCTTTTTTCTACAGCCTGATAGGCAAATGACTCTACCTCACCTGATGTTAAGTGGTGATAAAGTCCAAACGCTAAGATAGCTGGTACAACAGTTATAAACTGCCACACCAACTACCCTCACCTTGCCGGCCTACAATAATGATTCTTCACGCCTCTCTTAAAGGACCCCAGATTGTAGGAAGGAGGGAACACGTGCGCGGGCTTAGAATTCCGCTTGCGAATAGTACGATGACTATATTACTCTAAATTTTAACTCTTCCTGGTATAGTAATTTTTCAAGTTGCTTTATTTGTGCGGATAAATTTTCAATCATATAGTAAAAACAGTGACGGACATTCCCACTATACACGAAGTGCGAGAAACTGACCAGTGAGCAAAGAACACTGGTTAAATCGAGCAGGCTAGCTCATGTCATGGGGTTCTCGGTATACAACTTGTTCAACAAAGTTGGCCACTGACGCCAAGTCGCTTAATTTTAAACCTAAATTAAAGTTATGGCTTATTGACAGAACCTTTTGTATTATCGATGAGTTTATGAATGCTGTATCCCTGCATTAATTGGACCAATTAATATACCTATATTTTTTTTTGGTAATTAACATTTAATTTTATTCAAGTATACATGTTTTATTTTAATTGTTTTGGCATAAGTGTCATTTTTATTTGATTTGAAATTTATATGAGAATTGAGTCATTTACTCTATGTAAATGTACTGTATGTGTCATGTAACTGTAATTCTATGAAATAAATGAAAAGATAAAATTAGCCTTTATTGCTGTTAAACTTATAAAACATTTTCTTAATATAAGTAACTATTTTCTTTATTCTAAATTATCAGCGTTCGCGTCATTATTTTTAGAAACAGCGTCTCTTTCGACATAGGCCTCCTCTAAAGATTTTCGTTTTCCTCTATCCTTTACAATTCTGATCCATTCTGAACCAGCCACCTCATTCAGACCATATTCCCATCTTTTCGTTTGCCAACATTTGTTTCTTTTACCGTCCCTTGGATTGGTCTCAAAAATATCACTCTGTTATAATTCGATGTATTTCTTTTATTAAATTATGATTGACGTATAATTTATTACGAATAAAATTATAATGATTATTAACTTCATCGTTTCGAGTTAAATGAAGTCTCACAGAGGAAGAAAGTTAAGAAACATAAATAAGTAAAGCAGCTAGCGTCCGCTATATATTAGAGCGTTAAACTCCATAGGTATAAAATAAATTTATTGTTAATGACAATTATCACTCTAACATTAATACCCCTTTACCGGATGCCACATGTAAAGTATATGCATAGTATGCATCTATAAAGTGCCACTTTCTAAATAGACGATATTTTATAAAGAAGTAATTTTATGGTGATAACAAAAATAAACAGGTTTCAGCTGTAGTTGTTGCTAAGTAAAGGAAAAAAGTTTTCCTTTTTCAGTTTTTTGAACAAAGTCCAAAAATACAAAGACTATCCTATACGGTGATATTATAAGTGAATAAGCATATTAAGTAATATGGCCCGCGGTAGCACTTCTATTCTCTAATACAGAATAGTACTGCTAGTCCGGGTGGATTTTTTTCTAGTAAAATCTTCTTTACATTTAAACATGAAGCAGTCAAATATTAAAACAAAATACAACTATGTATATTAAATAAGTAATTGCATTACTTAATCTGTCTTATTAGTATTTTTTACATGTGTAGTTATTACGGAACCTTGTACACGCGTCTACAACCAGTTCTAAGCCGCCGCGTCGTGTTTTTTTGGCCAAACTGTCTGTGTCATAGAACCCGTTTTTTCTGTCAACACCAAATAACGCTATATTCTCAATCTCAACTGAATCGCAGTAATACGTGATACAGTTAAAGGTTGAGTTTTCATTGAAATAAGATTGAGGTTTTGAACTAGTGTTGGGTAGGACACGACTTGAAAAAGAGTTTGTAAGAGTAGCCTTTTTTTTGTACTGAACCAGTACAATGTCCCACTTCAAATGAGGCGAGGCGTACTGAAGCTCGGCAATACATTGGAAGTGACGAGTACAAATATGACATTGAGGCGTACAGAAGCTCGACATTACGTTTGTGTGCACAAGTAGCACCTCCTCTACGTACTATCAATCTTGCTGGATCCAGCATGCAGGACAGCGCTATACACGTAAAACAGATAGAGATACAGATGGATAGTGCGTAGAGGACTTAATGCCTCGCTCTCTCTCTCAGACTTACGAAGAGTGAGTGAGTAACGAGACGCGACTATCGCGACATTTAATGTGAAGTAGTACATTTTAAAATTTTGAGCCGCTCTTACAATTTGGCGTCATGTCCGGGACAAATGTACCGCCTCTTGTAAGTCCTACTCAACACTATTTTGAATTTTTTTTGTACAGTCGAATAAGAAGCAGCTCCTATGGTTACGTAAAAGTGGAGCTATAAATATTCATTTTTTTCCTATGAGTTAATGTTACTTACCCTTAAATTTGCCCGGTTAGTGGGAAAAGGGTGAAAATTTAGGATTGTAAAATTATAAAAATCTAAATTGGGCTGGACCACCCTTATTATTTAGGCGTATTAACATAGTTTACGTACTATTCTAAGACCTACTAAATATCTCCTACACACAAAATTTCATAAGAATCGGTCAAAGTTTCGAAGGAGTTTTGTTACAAACACTGTTACACGCGACTTTGGGAAATTTGATTGTAGGTTAATTGATTGTTCAATCAGTTTCACTATAACTACGATGTCAATACAAATAATTATTAAAAGCAAAGTTTATACATTTTATCATCATTCTTGTCTGAATGAACATTTCATATTAAGCTAGAGTACATACAATTTGAATCACATGCGGCATCTACTTAATTCTAGGTCTCTGGGCAAGGATGATACTTAATTTACATAACTTTACCCACGCCTTTACGTTTGGATGTTTTTTCGTACTGAAACTGAACTTATTAAGATAATGTTTGGCATACAGTAAGAGCTTTTTGCTCCAAATAGCTATCAGTAATGAATACAAGATTTCAGTGTTTAGGGTTCAGTCATGACAGTAGGTAGTTTTTATAAAGGTAAATCATTGAATTTTCAATAAAAGTAAACCTGAGATAGAATTATGTCAGTAAACCCCTGTATAATACTCCTCTAGTTAGCGCTCTCCTGATCCCGAAAAGAGACTCAGAGGTCTCTATATGGTATTTGTGAAAATCTACAAAGATATTATAACGCATCGGCTTCTGAAAGCCAAGACGTACTAGACATGTCGATCTGTGAGACACTGGAGCTCCCGCCATTGGCTTGCCGTCTAGATCGCCTATCGTGTCTGATGCATGGCATGTTTCTCTTAGAACAACTTTTATCACTCACATAAATATTTGTTTCACTCAATCTCCTCTGAAAAGAGACCCAGAGTGGTAAGAGCGTTCGGTCTGCGATTGTGAAAGTTAAGTAACTTTTGCCAATAACAGGTCATTGGATGGATGACCAAAAACTTATAACTCAAGCTTAACCGTGCTTCGGAAGGCACGCAAAGTCGTTAGTCCCGGCTGCGTCTGAAGTCGTTAGTTCGTTCGTTTCTCGCTGGGTTCACATTGGTGATAGGTGAGTCATGGCTTAATTTCCCTATTTTATCCATAGGGAAGGCCCCGCCCGAGCAGTAGGGGATATTAATGGCCTTTTGTCTGCGGAGGACAAAGCCCTGAATCGTGAAAAAAAAATCCGCCGAGGACATTTATCGCACACGGTGTACGGACATTAATGGCCCGGAAATTTAGGGAAACGCACAGTATGGAAGCAAATATTCTCGGTTTACGTTGTAATGCAATAGGGTATTTGACGAGTTTTAGAAAACGATCTTACGTTATTGACCAATGTTTATGAAGTCCGTAAAAAGTGGATATTCATCATTCTGTTGTGTATTTCAGTAAAAATAGCGAAATCAAAAACTCCATTTTTAAGTTCCCGCGAAATCGTTTCTCTGATATCTTACTAGTGTGTGACGTCACACGACTGTTATTAAAACGTGAAACGATACAATGTAATGTCACTTTAACCGGAAGTTTACTTGCGTGTGACGTCATTTTAGGCTCCGCCAATCCCAAGCGTTTTGGGTCACGTGACAATAAATAATATTCTCTTTTTCGTTAGTTTTTAGTATTTTTTTTTTGTAAAAATAGTAAAAACCCCTACCCATATTCATTCTTAACACAGATGCCAACAATTGGCACTTTATTTTTAACACTGTCAAATGCCCTACTCATATGAAGTTTAAGAATGAGATAAAACGTTTTAATATTGGATACTAGGTCCAACTCTTTAAATAGGATCGCGCAATACGAACTATATATAGTTCTCTGTGTGCGTTGCTACGCCTAGTCACACGAATTCTATGTTTTTCGGGGACTCCTGCGAACTTTTGTCCTATCCGGTCTCTCGGTGTCCTCGGCTGTTCGGATGACTTTTAATTCCTCGTATGTGTTACTTGATGCAGTTGTAAGCGATTTATTTAGGCGGACAAAAAAGTTAGCGGACGAAAGTCCCACATCTGCGCAGGCTATAGGCACACTCTGTGGGAGTAGAAAACAAATGAAGCTCACCTTCAAAGTCAACTTGGTACCGCACACTGCGCACTTGAAACATCCACTGTGGAAGAACGTGAAGTCCTTCAGGGGCCCGACCCTGTCCACTTGGTAGACGATCTCGTTGCACCTAAAGCAGGTGCTCTCGTAGAAGTTCGGGCGGTACATGGTGCCGGCCGCGTCACTCCATAGTTCCAGAAACACTCCACTTCACTGAGCACTGGTGACACTTCACTGAGTCCCTCTGTAATTGGTGGTGTTTTGTTTCTATTTATTTTTTTGTTTGACAAGGTTTGTTGGTGGTCGATTGTGTTTGACGCTTTCAAGGGTATTGTTAATAAGTATTATGTCTGTACTAATCAAGTGTGACTTTGGAAAAGGTAATGATTAAATTTGCGGTGGCACGTGTCGAGTTTGATTTGTGGTGTGATCGTTTTGCCAATTTTATTTTTAGTTTTAGTTTAAGCACGAAGAAAGTTAGCAATTTTTGAAATTAAATTAGGTAGGTATATAATTTTAAATAAAATTTAACGAAAGTAACATTCGTATTAAAGACGATTCAATTTCGATTAAAAACCTTTATAAAGCCTTGGTTTTTCGGATTAACCTAATAGTGTTTGCACGGTATATATTTCAAATATAAATCAAATATTGTAAAATCCTTAGTCGGACTCTGTACCTACCTATCCATTCACAAGACTTTTTTATATTAACTACGATACCGTAGTTGTTACATCAAATAAGGCAAAATATAATTGAAAACAATAAATGTTATTTTATATTTATGAAAAATGCGTAAAGGAAATTTCCCCTACTTCCTTGTCTGGTTTAACGTTTAGCGATTTCTTTTTGTAGCCTTAACTGGACTTGCTGTTGGCATGAGTCAAACCACGGCGACCACGCAACTACATAAATATCGATCAAAGTCACCCCTCGCTCCTATTTGAGTTACGTGGTCAATTTTAACGAAGAAAGACATACTCACTTATGAACCTGTTGTAAACGAAGATTTTAAAGTATTGATGCTCTCTGAATTATGGAGTAACGGACCTTAAATACCTAAACAAAGTTTTTGAAGTACTAAATTTAGTAAATAGGTGTATATCTTTCTCTCTTAACGATTGAATCATACAGGGAGGACGGGCAATAACTTGTATTTATATAGGGATAGGTGTCGACATGATTCCCTGAACTTAAAAATCAATTTAACATCAGCCTCTCCTTTTCATTCTGTATAGCGAATAACAAGGACTGAGTGCTATCAAATTTAAGTTTAGTTTAAGACAATCGTGTCGGAGTCGACGCCAGTGTACATTTGATTAATTCTAATTTGCCTCAAGTCTTTTGTCGCCACAATTGAAAGCATTTGAATTGTGGCTACAAAAGACTTTAGGCAAATTAGAATTAAAAAAAAAATGTTTTACCCATTCGACAGAAGAGCAGCATCAACAACATAATATTTCTTTGCTCATAAGAATAAGTCTTACAGAAGACCACAGTATAATAACTCTACCTGTGGTGGTGTTGTGTTTCTGTCGGTGATTAAGGTTCCAGGGCTCCATGGGGTAGGGGATTAGGTCAGGGTAGGCAATACTGCTGGTGATTTTTTTGGTGTTGCAAACGTCTATAGGCTATGGTGGCCGTTTACCATACTTGTTAGCCAACCATTTAACATAAAAACAGCTTTCGACTTTCAAATCTAAAGAAGAGTTTACTAGAAAAAGTTCCACGCGGACCAGGCAGCAGACGGAACTCGAACCCGCACCCTTCGCTATCATTGCACTGATCATTATGCTACCGCGGCCCTGACGGCCGTGTCGAATTTTCTCTAGCCTTAGGCTGCAAGGCAGCGCCATCTCTTCGCATTGTAGGTAACCCACAATGTCAAATGAAATACCTTTGCAAGTATTGAAATATTTGAAAGAAGAAATAGCAATTATAGTTTTTATTTTTTAAGCATTCAACTGCTAGATGATAAAATCTAAAGAAAAGTTTACTAGAAAAAAATCCACGCGGACCAGACAGCAGACGGGACTCGAATCCGCACCTTTCGCGATCCGGGCGAATTCACTGACCATTAAAAATTAGTCGAGAATTCATCTTGCAGTTAAATTCTTAAAAAATAAAAATATAGCTTTCGACTTGTTTTGCACTGCACAGATTTGCATTGCATTAAATTACTTTTTAAGCACAAAGTGGTCAAATTGTAAAGTCCGAGTAGTCGGGGTGAACCGTTAATTTCGTTTGAAGTACCAGTTACTGTCCATCTCGCGCATAGATGGTGCTATAACAAAGCAAAGATGATGGCATGCGGCAATTGTTGATGTTTGGTGCAAGCGCAAACAGCAAAATTATGTTGTCAAACCAATATATGCTATGTGCAAACAGTAAATCTTTGACATATCAGTAAATCTTAGACATATCAGTAAATCTTTGACATATCAGTTAATATTTGACAACATACTAGCTGATTCACATAGCATATTTTGTATTCAAAACATCGGTGAGAATACTAGTCATAATGATGAAAATGTCAAAATCTCCAAAAAGAGCATATTGCAGATATTTTAGTGTAATCAGATGTATATCAATTGGAAATTACATTAAAGTCAGTGTTGCCATCAAGTTTGAAAGAGTTGCCGTATTCGATACATCAGATTGCCGTATTTTTAAATAAAAATCATGATTTTGCCGTATTACCTAATTTTATTTAATAAAATTTATAGGTAGTTAGTATTATTATACGGCAATGACAAATCTTCCGTATGCCGTATAATCTGAAACTATGAGCTCAAATTGTCATATATTACGGTAATTGCCGTATTAATGGCAACGCTGATTTAAGACTAACGTGGGGCAAATGAATAGAAATGTAAGACGATTTTCTTAATTTTATTATATTGCGTTTGCTAAGTTTATAATACTGAGTTTACAAGAGATAATTTTATTACTATGTCGAATCTTTACCTACATGAGTACTAAGTAGAAAAATAAAAACAAATAAATTATGGGCTCATTTATTTGCTTTTATTTTTCTATGATACTTTAATACTCTACCATGGGAACCTATTAATAAATTAACTGTTACGTTAATAAACGTTTTTCAACAAGTTTTTAAACTATTCAACCAATGCAAAAAGAAATAATGAAACGAATCATCAACTCTTCTCCCCAACGGACACAAGTTATTATTTATTATACCTAATGCTCTCCAGCAAAGAGATAATCAAATAACGAACTTTGTCTATAAATGACTTTAATTTAAAGAAAATTAATCTTTTAATTTTAAAAGATTAATTAAAAATTTGCATTTAAAAAGTATTACCAAAACAAAACAAAAATAAGAGATTTACAAAAACGAAAAACCTAATAAAACACCATGTAAGCAACCAAATCACTCTTGACTTGGACCACAAGGAAAGACAGACAGGGGCAACTATTGGAACGTGCCAATGTAATGATAACTCGAGGTTGTTATACATCTAGTCCACAGTCCACACTCAATGGCTTCGTCAGTTAACCATAGAGGATGATTCTGTAACAAGTGCTTTGGCAACCGCTTGGTTATATTTTGCTAGCTCGGCAACGCTGTTTCTGAACCTAGAATGAATTCTACCAATCATTTAATAGATGACCATCTTTTCTGTCATCTGACCAATTTTGTTTATGCAAGGCGCAACAATTCAATCCTTTATTGTTTCCATAGATTCAAAGCTTCGATCAACATTCTATAGATAACGGGTCAGCGCGTAAAATTCGTCTCGGTAAATATAGCCTCACTTGAGGCGTGAGATCTTATTTAAAATTAGTTAATACCCTCTAGCCTAGAGTAACTCGCTGACCAATGACTGGTAAAAATATTTTGTTTTGTGGGTCTAAGGTTGATTTCACATTTGCCTATAAACATCTTTGTCGTTTTTTTCCAAGTAACAGAATTAATTTATAAAAAGAACAAGAGTTCGTTTTATAAGATAAAAGATCGTATGTGCGAATTAACTGACTGGAGTACAAATGCTCGTACTCATCACACAAACACCTGCCCCCACCGGGATTCGAACTCGGGACCTCTCGACACCATGAAACCCGGCGTACAAACCACTCGGCCACAGAGGTCGTCGATGATTGACCTCAGTCTCATATAGGCGCAACTTATCAATATTAGATACGGTTTTAATACATTATGTATGAGCACGGCTACGGTGTTACACCCTGCTGCGAGAATAACGACGCAATTGAAGTATGACGAATTATCACATTAACGCATCCGATAGTTACGACAGAGGCTTATAAATCTCATCATCGACCTAATAACGTCCCCACTGCTGGGGCACAGGCCTTCCCTATGGATGGAATTGGGAGTTTGGACCATGACACACCACGCGGGCACAGTGCGGATTGGCTGGTGCTAACGACTGCAGCTGCAGCCGGGACCAACGGCTTAAAGTGCCTTCCGAAGCACGGAGGGACTTGAGATAGAAGATTTTTGGTCACCCATCCAATGACCGACCACTGCGAAAGTTGCTTAACTTCAACGATCGCAGCGGAACGCGCTAACCACCCGCGTTATCGAGCTCCTCGACAACAGATTTAGTGACATGGCCTATAGCAGTCACGCACACGTGTCATGTTTCTCACTTCCATGGGCAGTTACGGATTCCAAATATCCGACTATCACATTGCTCTAACGGTATTCTCGTGGTTCAAGTTGAATAATCGGCCAACTATTCAGTCGAAAGATAGATGGAATATCTAAAGAAAGACGATCTTTTTTACCGTCTATTACGCCAGAAATGTGTGGAGTTTTTGGCGAGATTTCATCGAGTGCGGTTGGCGTCTTATTTTAATTATTCTTAAATTCATTCATATTGGATATTGTGAAATAAAATTGGTGTGATTTTGTGTTACAACCGTCTGCGTCACTGAAGAATTAGTGGAATCTTTAAAATATAGGTACGTTATTTTGCTCTAGTAGACGTGAGAACTTTACTGTAGTGTTGACTATCTCACAGAAGCTTATCGAAAAAGATAACTCGATACATTTCGTGCCAAACACTTTAGAAGAAAAAAAGAAACATTAGAATGTGTCACACCGACATTCTAATGTAAAAAAAGATTTATATAACTAAAGACTAGGCTGTATGGGCATTGTCCCTTTGCCTTTCCTAAAAATGGAGAATCTTAAAAAAAAGTAAGTATTAAGATTTACAGGGAAATATTTTCTTTCGTTTTTTTTAAGTTACAATGGTGGCCAACAAACGTATTGCGCGCCTGATGGTAAGCGGTCACCATAGCCTTTACACGCTTGCGATACCTTCCTACACGACAAAAAGGTAATGTTAAACGGCAAAAACACAACACCACCAAGGGTAATGCTATTTCACTGTCGTCTTCTGTAAGGTGGACGTTGGTTCCCCAGAAGAGCGCTCAAATTCGAGTGACGTTTTGGTGAAGTCTAAGTTTCTGTTCTCGGGTATTCCGATCTGCGAAAGATTTCTTGACTAATGCTAAAAATCACACGACAATCCGTTAATTAGTTTTTGTGATCATGACGAATACACACAAACACGCGGCGAAGAGCTTTTTATTTATAAAGTTGTAGGTATTTCCAGTTCAAGTTAAATACGCGTTCTAAAATTAAACGTGCAAATTTGCAATTAGAGTGATTCAATTTTACTCCTAGTATTTACGTTTCGTTTCAAGCCCGCGCTTTTAATGTCATACGACTTTTCTCTCTACTAATCACAACATTTGTGATCGTTTACGCGAAGCAATAGATTTTTATGCTTGTAATAAATATGTTTAGTACGCAGAGAAAGCGTATACTGTCCGCGCAACACAACGCATCGTCATCGCGGTGCGGATATCTTTTACCGTTTTTGTGTGCGCACGCACTTTCACCCCCACGATAACGGATAACTAGAACCGAGGTCCGAGTCCCAGAGACGCCCTCTAGTTGAGCCGGCCCCTCAGGTTCGAGTGGTTTACAGGTTCCAGACGGATAGGTGACTTTCCCCGTTGAGAGATGCCATCCGCCTGGAATACCTCTAAAGGCACTCGCCAATTCTCGGCTTGAGGTCTCCTTAGGATCCTCCCGTCCCCAAACCAGGTTCTACTGTAAAGATCATCAGAGTAATAGACCACTAAGCTGTCTTGTTATTGGGGCAGATTACAATCGCACAGGATGGTGATTTCGATGTTGTTAATTTTTCCTAATATCTAAAACCTGGTTCTGTTACGTATTAAAATATTGTATTGATTGGAACTACTATAAATTATTATTAGTTAAAATTTTCGTAATGAACCATTATAAAATAAAATAGTTTATTTCGTTCTCTGATTATTTACTCCTAGATAGAGCGTGGCAGCTCAGATTACGTTGAAAAAAATATGAGCCAACTGCTTGACTCTAAGTCGTTTCCCGACACTTAGTATTCAATGTAACGCTGAGCGATACGCACAATTACAAAGTTTTATGTTGAAACTAGCTGACCCAGCGAACTTCGTACCGCCCTAAAAAAATAGGGGTTTTCCAGCGGACAAAATTGTGAATCTAAACCATTCTCAGATCCCCTTGAACACACACAAAAAATTTCATCAAAATCGGTCCAGTCGTTTAAGAGAAGTTCAGTGACATACACACTCACAGAAGAATTATATATATAAAGATTAACACATACTTTGAAATGCCGAGATGGGCTTTAATAGTTTGCCGAAATTATTAAGGACGAATAAATAAAATCAACAGAGTTACTTACCATCGCTAAGTAACTCTTTATTCACCTTTAAAGATAAATACTATTAAAGTACTAAATTCAAGGCCCTAATCATCATAATATGAAAAAAAGGTCATTTTTTTTTGTTTGTTTCTATATTATTATTATTATTTTAGTTAAACTAAATAAAAAATTGTAGCAGATTTTTTTTTCAAATATCCTAGTATAAATTTATACATTTTACAGATGTTTCAACGTCTATGATTTTTAATTGTGTGAACAGTATACTAATTTTGATTT